CCTCTTCCCACTTCACAACTAGAGACTTAACTCTTTTCTTTGTTTCCATGCTCAGTATCATCCTGATCCCCAGCTACGCTGCCATGCAGAGCTGTGCTTCCTGGACTGGATCTCTTCTTGGCAGCTGTACCCTGGGCAGGAATGCCGGGTCACTTGGTTCCTGTCCTGGAGCCCCTGTCCCAACTGTGCCTGGCATGTGGCTACCTTCCTGAAGAGTAACAGACATGTGCATTTGAATATCTTTGCCGCCCGAATCTATGACTACCAGGCAGGATATGAAGAAGGACTATGCTCACTATGGGATGCAGGGGCTCACATCAGCATCATGACTTACGAAGGTCAGAGTGGAACAATGAGGAGAGGGCAGTAGCCTGGGAAAGGGAGCTGCCAGAAGGAAAAGGCAGGATTTGGAGTTCCACATGGAAAAGTATGTTCTCTGTGGGCCGAACAAGACTTGGGAGTCTGTCTAGTGGAAGAGAGAACTCAGGGTAGGAGACGTGGTCCAGAGGATGGGAGGGTGGTCAGAAGTAGAAGAAGAACTTGAAGACTTCCAGAAAGAACGTGATTTGGGTGGATCCAATTCCAATTAGAAGAAAGGATTTGGGTTTGGTTATTGCTGTTGTTGTTGTTAAGTGCTGTTGAATCAGTTCCAGCTCATAGCAACCCTATATAGGATTTCCCAGGCTCTATATCTTTGAGGTAGTAGAAAGCTTCATCTTTCTTCCATGGAACAGCTGATGGGCTCAAAGCACTAACCTTGTGGTTTGCAGTCCAATGCTTATCCTAGGTTTGGTGGAGGAGCTAAATCCTTCTTGGAGGGACCAACATGCAAATTCTGATGTAAAAGACCTATCCCTAAGAATTGCACACCCTTGTTGCTCTTGAATGGTTAGAGCCTGACTATCCTTCCTTTCTCTTGTTTCAGACTTTGTGTACTGCTGGAGAACCTTTGTGAACAGCAATCTGAGACGTTTTATTCCCTGGCCCAACCTAAAAGAAAACAGTCAAATCATATCAGAAAGACTTGAAGGCATTCTCCGGGAAGGGGTATCTTCCTCTCCCTAGAAATTTCCCTTCCCCTCCATTCAGAGGCTCCTCTTGATTCCCTGCTCCCTCTAGAGGCAACTAGCACATTCCTTTTTTTTTTCCATTTAAAACAAGAAGTTTATTTAAACAACAAGATGCTTGACTTTAAGAGAAAACTATCACGGATTCATTTCTTTTAGAGGAATTGACCCCTACTTAAAGACAGATTGCCCTACATGTAAAAGCTACATACAAAAAAGTTAAAAAATTGTCCTTGGTTTTACAATGATAAATGAAAAACATTAAAATTCTCTAATTGAACAAGGTATGCAAGGAGTTTTTATGTTGTTGTTTTTTGTTAAACAATGAGAGCAAAAGAACTTCCTGGAATATAAAGATCAGAGCTGAATGAGCATGCCACAATGGAGAAAAGGAGGATTTTCACAGAACCAGTATTTTCCCCCATCTCATCTCCACTTCATATCGGTCAAAATATATCATTGGCCATTTTAGTAAAAAAGAAGAAGAAAAAAACCCAAAAACCTCAAAACAAACAGAACAAAAAATGCAATATGCTTGTGCACATGCACCCGTTACTTTATGTACAATAAAGGAATGGGGACGGGGAAATGAAAGAATAGAGAAAACTATATTGTAGTAGTCAGGATGTGGTGGAACCAAATTGTGGTTTTCTAATTGAAAATATATTCTTGGTCAGTAGGAACAGAGTTCTGGAGTAAAGTAGCAGGCTCCTTTGAGAAGATACCTCCTGTCTGCTGCTGGAACACATCAATTGTATCTTCATCCTCCATTTCCAACTGTGCAGGTGTATCTGTTTCATTGATTGGCTGCCCGTCAATTCAGAATCTGATCTGCCTCAATGATAAACCCTGTCGTTCACAATAGGCTTTCACTAGTTTACTAAGTGGTGTGTGCCTCTTAATCTTAAACTGCACCACAGAACCATCCTGCCCCGCCACCTTCAAATTAATATGATCATTGTTCTCAGTCTTGACTCCTTCCTTGGATTTCTCTTCTGCCATGGCGAGGCCAGAGTCTCATCAGCTGCCGCTGCACAAACAAGGTACCAGGTCCGCACCGAACAAGCACACAAGCCTAGCACATTCCTTTTAAAGTCTTTGAAAGTCAATCTGCTTTTCTCCCTACTGACCTTCCTTTAAGGTGCTCTGGTGTAGCTGTGGATCAAGAGTTGGGCTGCTAACTGCAACCACGGCAGTTCAAACCCACCAGCCACTCAACAGCAGATAGAAGAGGCTGTTATTCTAAGGATTCTCACTCTCAGAAACCCTAAGGAACAGTTCTACTCTGTCCTGTAGGCTTCTTTGAATCAGAATGGACTTGATGACAGTTTGGTTTGTTTTTTGGTACTTCCTTTCTTTTCTCTCTCATTTCACTGTCTCCCAGGTCCTTCTCTGCTTCTTCTTTCAGACTTCCCTACTTATCTAAAAAAAAAATTTCCCTATCATCCTAGGTGGGTGGGGAATAGAAGAAAAGAAAATAGACTTCAGTATTTCTTTCAGAGGCAGGGGGTCTCTGTTGACCAGTGGAAGACATCCTCTTCTTTCCAGAAGAAAAAATACTCTGATTGTCATAATCAAAACAGCACTAAAATGCAAGGAGTTCAGAATGAATGAATTCTCTTAAAACATCATGGGAAAGGCATGAAGTGACTGGCTTACAAGCTTTCAAGATGTAATCTAGACCCAGAAGGCATGGGGGAAGGTAGACTCTCCACTGAGTAGTATCCAATCTATCTAGGCGGGGCTGTTGAAAGGAAATGCGGATAGGTCTCTTGTGATACAATAGTGAATAATTGTTATCAGGACTGATTGTGAGGGTTGGAAATGTAAAAGTAGATGTTTTGTA